AGCTTTAAAATTTAATTGTTAATGTCTTGTAAAATAAATTAAATAAAAAAAATCGTTTTGGGCTATTGTTTTGTATAATATATACTTCTTAAAAAACAACAAAAAATGTAAAAATTATGATATTAAATTTTGGGTGCAACCGCTGTTAAAATTTTGACTCTTTTAAAAAAGAGAAAATCGAACGATCTAAACGATGTTTCAGGAGCGAATACTTATTTCTCTTCACTTTAGAGCTAACACAATAGACCGAAGAAAGAGGTCTCATTTTCTCTCACCGAAACCAGTCTTAAAGAGGGACCCGCACCCCTACTTGAAATAATCATAACTCGTTACCATAGTCACCGCCACACCTCCAGACGAATGACTGTCAGAGTACCTATCGTAGACAAACAGTAAGTCAGTCAGATCATTCAGTCTATTTTGTGTTTCCAATTTTTTACCTTTTTGTCAAGAAGGCATCTAATTTAGTTTGTGTTTTCCTTTTGCGTTATGTTAGAAGTTGTTGATAAGTGGATAAAGCATCTATAACACTACATCTTGCTTTTGAACTCCTGTCAAAATTTGGATCGTTTTCAACAAATTGGTCCATAATTTCAGTTACAGTGGTCAAAACTCCTTTTTACAAACGCTACCGAAAGTTCTTTTTGCTCTTCTCCGAAATCACTTCTATCAATATCTTTGTTTTCTTCTTGCTCAGTTAATTCCTTGAGCTCATCATTAGAAAGACTAGCTGCTGTTTCTTGAACTATTTCTTCGACGTCTTCCACATTTACCTCATCTAAACCGGTTTGTTTTGCTAATTCCACTATTTCATCCATATCGACAGAGTGTCGCTCTTACTTAATCTGGCCAAAGGTTCTTCCATACTCCTTTCAAAAATCTTTCTGTTATCTTATTCCAAGAAAGGTTTATGTTTTCTACAGCATTCATGATATTGTAGTTTTTCCAAAATTCTCTTATTGATTGCTTCTCTTCTCTGTTTACTTTGTCAAACATCTGTTTTAATGTTCGTCGAAAGTAATAAGCCTTAAAATTAGATGTAACACCTTGGTCCATTGGTTGGATTAAGGCAGTTGAGTTAGACGGCAAAAAAACCACTTCGACTGGAATGCATGTTGTAAAGTCTGATAAATTTGTTGGGTGGCTTGGAGCGTTATCTATTAATAATAGTGCTCTTTGTTCAAGTTTTTGAATTTCGCAATAATGTTTAACAGACTGGCAGAAATATTCAGTGAACCAATCCCGGAAAATTTTCACAGTTATCCATTTTTTATTAGACTCCCAAATTACAGGTAAAGTTGATTTAGATATGCCTTTCATCGTACTTGGATTTTTCAAACTAATAGTGGTTTTAATTTGAAATCTCCGCTTGCGTTACCACCCAGTAGCAGTGTTAAGCGATCTTTTGCAGCCTTAAATCTTCGTGCTCGCTTCTCTTCACGGGATAGAAATGTTTATTTTGGCATTCTTTTCCAAAACAGGCCTGTTTCATCCTCATTAAAAACCAATTCTGGAGGATAGTTTCCTTGCTCAATTATTGTTTTTAATGTCGCTGGGAATTCAGCCGCCTCTTTCGTATCACCACTTGCTGCTTCTCCTGTAATCTTTATGTTGTGAAGATTATTTCGATGTTTAAATCTATTAAACCATCCTCGACTAGCAATGAAAGTTTCACTTATGTCACTTGCCTCAACCTGAATGTAATTAAAAACTCTTCTAGCTTTTTCCTTTATGATAGATTGGCATAATGGCATATTGCGTTCAATTTCGTGGTCAATCCATATAGACAGTCGTTTTTCCATTTCCTCTATAATGTTATTTCCAGAAAGTGTAATTCTAGTTGCAGAGCTTGACGTAGTTGCCGATGACAGTATTTTTCCTTTATTCTTAAGAATTGTCCTTGTTGTTGAAGTTGCCAAATTCAATGCAGCACTAATTTGAGATTGACGTTCACCAGAATCTAATCCTCTAATCACTTGCATTTTAGTTTCCAGTGAAATTCTTTTTCTGGTTGCCTTCTTTTCTTGTTTTTCATTATCACTAACTATTATCTTGTTTTTCATTATATAAAAACTAAAGATCATAATATTTGTTACTGTATTAATCATTATAGTATTATATAAATTTATATGTACTTACAATAATATCAACAAATGTTTTAAATTATAAAAATGCGTCCATACAGCACCGCACCAAACAAGAAACACAACTACACTGTTTCGGATATGTTATGTACATATTTGGGGAATCCCCGGGTTGAAATAAAAGAGCGCTAAACGAAACAGCGTTAAGCGGGGTCTTACTGTATATATATTTAAGTCAATGTCGGAAAAATACTCCCATATATTAATTGCCAAAATATATTTTATAAATACATAATGTAGTTTCTTATGGTTAGTTCGTCATTACCAGAAAGTTGACTCTAGCCTCTGCCCAACTTTTTGCATTTTCTTTTTTTACAAAGTCCAGATTAAAATGCACATATTCACAAATAACATCTAGTTTTTATTTGTAAACCTATTTAATATGTTCGTAATGCATAATCTTTTATCAGTAAAATGTAAGCAATGAAATTGTTTGATTTAAACATAAATAAATTTTGGGATAATAGCGTTCTCAAAATATTAACTGCTGGTAGTTGAATTTCAATCAATAATATTAAAGGCAGCTTTTAAAAGTTGATGTAAAAAATTATGTTTTTCCTCTCGTTTTTTTATGGAATTAAATTTATGGAATTTTCAGCTAAGATTGTTGTTTCGTGCATAGTAGTTTCAATCAAATATACAATTGTTAAATATTTCTGATGTGCAAACGTATTTTTAAAATATAAAAATTATTTTTACAATAAAAAAAACTATTGACAATTTTTAAAATATTTCATGCTTTTCTGGTTCCAACCCTGATAAAAAAATGTCTTGAGGTACCCTTGGGTTTTGTTTCAAATTTTTTGTTAATTAAAATTTTAGATACTGAAAAAATAAAGTAGAGTACATAAATAAAGTAGGGTATGTAACTGTTTCTCCATCTAGTTTTAATGAAAGAATAAGTGGAAGGAAATTTATGGAAGTAAGTAATATGATTATATTTAAATTATTTTTTTTTTCATTATCAAAATTATTACAAAAATGACATTTTAAAAATTCAAACAATAATTTTAGTTTAATCTTGAATAAATCTTTAAATAAAGCTACAATTTTATTTTATGGAAATAAATAATGGCACATAAGTATATTTTTAGATGGGAAGAATATTTTTTTTTTATAGAGTTAAAATTTCCACTCAATCCAAAGAAAATATAACTTTACAACTGTAGTTGATGTTTTTAATGTACAATTTCAAAATGTAAATAATATATAATAATTTTAAAATTATAAATGACTAGATTAAAATGAGAAATAATTAGAGTAATGTATTTTATAAAATATGTTTTACAAACAAATTCAATTAAAATTATGATAAAATTAAATTAATTCTAAAAAAAAAAATTAGGAATACATTTAAAACTAAAAATGAACACTTGAAAATGATTAATGATATAAAAATGATAAAGAAACTCTTTGTATATGAAAAGAAAAAAATATATAAATAAAAGTTTAGCTACTCAAGTATTAACTTTTGGCTAAATTTGAAATTTTCATTCATAAAAATCAGCTGAACATGAAATATAACTAGGAGTAAAAGCGAGGATATTGGTTGGTAGAAGGATATAATTTTTGTCCAGCATATCTATATTGCTAAGTATATGTGTAGAATAACATAAGACTCATCATCATATCTGGCTAGACAGCCCAGGGTGGGCCAGTGCCTTCCTTTGAATTCGAATCCACTTCTCTCTACTTTTGACACTTGTTCGCCAGTTTTTCTCCTTTAGAGTAAGGAAATCAGTCTCAACTAAATCCAGCCATCTCAGCCTGGGTCTACCTCTTTTCCTGTTCGTTAGGGGTTTGTGTAATAGGATTTTCTTTAAATTTGAGTCATCATTCCTTCTGAAAATGTGAGCTGCCCAGTTCATTCGATTTATTTTAATGAATTTCACAATATCTGGCTCTCTGTAGATTTTATACAGTTCAGTATTATATCGTCTTCTCCAGGAATTATTTATTTTTATCCCACCAAGGATGGCCCTCAAAACTTTTCTCTCAAAAATGGCAATTTTATTTTCACCAGCTTGAGTTAGGTTCCAGGTCTCAGAGCCATAGGTAAGTATTGGCCTAATTAATGTTTTATAGAGTAAAAGTTTTGTATTTTTTGATAAAAGAGAGGATTTGAAAAAACGTTTTAAACCATAAAAAGCTTTATTTGAACAAATTAGACGACTCCGAATCTCATTGTCTATGTTATTGTCGGCAGTAACTATTGAACCATTGTTCTATTGTTCGATATTTTATTGCTTCACAACTATACACAAAATTTATCCAAAAATTAAAAACAAAACAAGATAAAAACACAAGGGTAGAAAATATTAGTTTGTACAGAATCTAACATAATCGAATGCAGAGAAAACAGTGACCTTCTGTATGCTTCTAATATTCTAAAGTAATGCAAACTAACGTTAGATTTTTCTAGTTTTTTAATGTTATCAAATATTATGTCTTACTCCGAGTAATATAATTATAGTCAAATTAAAAATATTTAATCAGTAAAAAATAAAAATTAAAAAAAAAAACGTTAGGAAGATAAAAAAAATATTGCTAACAGCAAGTTAATATTTTATAAATAATATTAAAATCAAGTGTCTGAATTGATTTAAATAAAATCTCCTTTCTAACAACATTCTACAAAATCATAATGAGGAGAAAGAAAATAATAACACAGTACAAGTGAATGAAACTTTATGAGTTACAAAAAAAAAAAAAAAAAAATTATTTCATTTGTATGTTAACAAAAAAGAAAAGAAAAAAAAGGCTGGAGTGTAAAAAATACAAGCTATTACTATACATAAAATTACATCTTAAATGGTCTAATTTTTCAAAAGTAGAAGTTAACTATAAATTGCTTACTTGAAGTAATTCAGTTATTCGGAGAGGAGGTCTCAGGGTATGATCCCTTTGTCTCAGCATTTCTAATATTTATAAAATGGTTAGTTCGATCTGTAATATTAAAGAAATTATTATATATTTACACCACAAACCTGTTTACGTAAATATTTATTTGTTTTTATAATATGATTACACCTTTATTTACCATGACACCAATTCTTAATTTCCGACTTAAATATCAAATACTTATAATTATTCGATGCATGCTTATAATGCATTAAATTAATACAAACAGCATATAAATACCAAAAGTATTTCAAAATTTAATAATATTCTCTAGTATTTAAGTGATATAATAAACGTGTAAAAGATAGTTCAATTGCTTTGTGCATGAAAATTTAAAAAAATAAAAATACTACTTGTTCTTACTTTTAAAATAAGCCGACTTCATAATGAATCATAAAGATGATGAAAAGAAATTTTTAAAATAAAAAAATGTGTAGAAACTACAAGCATGACAGCTTGGAAAGTTTCGATTTTGCAGTAATAGGCGATTACGATACGATGACCTTTAGAGTTTGAGGAACTCATGCACTTTTTGAGTTTGTTTCTAAATTTAAACCGAAGGATTCTAAAATTATCCAGTACGCCAAAATTATTACGAGACATTACTTCCTCCTTTGTTTAACCCAGTCAATCAAGCAGTAAATTCTTTTGAGTGCAATAATATGCTCAATTACTAGTACATTGGAAAAAAGTTAAACTCGTAACTTCAACTTTCAGATAGATTTGTTTATTAATCGTCTGCTCAAATATGATGGCGGGATATTTTTATTTCTAAGCAGTGAAAGCTACTAATATGACATCAATTTTCAACCGATTTAATAGTGATCACTGTAATGACTACGTATTGGAGGCCTCTGTGGATAATACTCGCAATTTAGCTCAATTATTGAAAGCTATTCATTTTAGAGATGTAATAATTATTGCTATTTTCTGTAACTCATTTCTTTTTCCATAACAACAAGTATTATAAAGAAGAGAATCTTCACAACACTCATTAAATTGGCTTAGTAATAATGCTTAATTTCGTTTAATTTATACAATGAAATGATTGCGAGCTCTAATGATGTATTGAAAAAATATGTGTGATTGGCTATGCCTTTATTTCGGAATTTAATCTTAAATTATATCTTCTGAAACTAATGATTCAGACAGTTTCCAACACTTCACACCTAACTTGTAGTTATAATAGAAAAAACTAGTATAAAGCAAAATAAACAATAATTTAAGTTAAGAACACAATAAAAGTATTGGAAAATGTTGTGGTGGCAAAGTGATAATGAAGTGCGGAAGTACAGTGATATTCTGCAAGCTCTTGAAATAAATACTATATACGTTTTATAATGTTGCTTTCTTGAATAACGTTATAATTTCAAATTTGTTTTTGTAATTTATGTGTAGATTATAATTATATTTATGTTTACTTTAAAATTCACCTGATAATTGCTATGCAAGCCAAAAAAAAAATTTTTTTTCTAATTATATGACCTAAAACCTTTTGGTTAAGTTCAAGAAGCATTCTTTCATGTTTTTTATTTAATGGGGAAATTTTTTTTATCAGTACCTTGACTAAAATGACATCCAGGCAGTAGTGGGATGATATATTTCTGTAATGTGATCTGTCACGTCAACTACAATCGCTAAGGGGCCAAATAGATTTTAAAAGTGCACATTTTTTTGAACAAAAGGGGGGATTTCCCTATCGTGATGCGTGGCAGAATAATCGCCGAGTCTTGGCAACATCTGTTCAGCGGCCCACGAGAAATAAAAAAAAACATTACAAAAAGGGGTCAAAGGTTATACCTCAAAATTACCCATGGGGAAACCTCTACATGTTTTTTTTTTTTTAAATATTCCCAATTAAAACCTTGGCGATTATAGTTGGTGTGGCAGATCACATTACTGAAATATCCCCCTGTAGCGTGTGAATAACTAAAGAAAAACTAATTTTAAATGTACAACTTTTTCAAAATTCAATTTCTCAGGAACTGTTTAGTGATTTCAGTCAAATTTTGTAAATTGCTGTGTAAAATTAAATTCTTTAAAATAGTGTGAAAATTTGTTTACCATACAATTTAAAAATTTTTGCACTATAATAAAGTAAAATGATAAATAATTCTTAAAAATTTTTTTTTGCATAGAATTGTTTTTGGACAAACGAATTTTATAATTATGTAAAAAAAAAATTTCAATTCACTTAAAAAATTCCCCTGATATGGCAAAATGTGCAAAAAGTAAAATTAACATGAAGGGATTCACTCTTTAAACAGCACTACGTTGGCGGAAGTGTCTGATTTCGTAACATAAACTTCTACATTAGTCAATTAGCATATTTGAGAGTACCCCCGTGAATCATTAAGGTTGAACTCTAGTTTGTGAAAATCCAATCATAGACCAAAACTTATTCAGGGTGATTCAATCATCTTTTCTTTTTATTTTTCCTCCTTTTTTTTTGTTCAGAGTATATACTCCAAGGGCGGCGCCAGTAGGGGGGCAATTGCACCCCTGTCGGGCATGGTCAGCCCCCCCCCATCGGGAAAATAGTTTGGTCGCATTTTTTTCTAAATTATGTCAAAAATACAATTACAAATGCCTAATAAAATATTTTGTAGTTGATTTTTCATTTTTTTATTTTTAAGAATTACAACAAAAATTAGTAAAATACATTGTAAATTCTATGTAATTCTAGTTTCACTGCACTACTCATAACTTTGCCCATACCTTGTTAAACTAGAGACCGGATGCGATTAGACACGGGTGAAATTGACGACTTTTCGAAGTCCCTTAGAAATCCTTTCCCACAGACGCATCTTCATTTTCTTGGAAACTTATCTTCCAAATTGCTATTCTTTCTTCTGGAGAAAGGGGATACCTCTTTGCTGGGGGAATAACTGACAAAAGCTTGAGGGATAGAAAGAAACGCAGGTCCTCTTCTTTTTTATGTAATGTGTTTATCAATGGTTTATGGGATCACATAATTGCTTTTTGAAATTTTCAAGCAAAATGAAAGTATAAGAATAAAATAAAATTTATTTAATTTTTTAATCCTTTTTTTTCATATTTGTAAATGAGGAAAATCATTTACTTATTCGGATTCAAGGTTTATATTTTAATCAACGCAATAAATATGCAGTCGGAAAAAAAGGAAAACAGTAACAAAATATTTTTAATTTATTATTATTTTTTATCATTTTCTTAGTAGTAAAAAGATTGTTGATTGATTCAGAAAAACAATTAAACTGTTCATATTCAATATCTTAAAATATATATTAATCAACATAACAGAATCTCATTGACTTATTTTATGTACAGTGCATGAACTGGAAAAGGAAACACCTTGATTACTTTTTATTTAATCATATTTTCATGTAGAAAGAGTCAATACCATATTTTAAGTTACGAAAATGAACAGAAAAGCGCATTCTGTTCTAGATAAAAATACAAGTTCGTCTATAGTTTTGGGTTTTTAATTTTCAAAATGCGGAAACAGCCGCAATCTGGAAGATATGGTCTGAAGTTATGGCAAAGAGAGAGTTGGAAAGTTTGGGTCCTTTGATTTTAACTTCACTCTTCTATTATCTCGAGAACTTTTTGAGTGTATTGAAAAATGTTTGCATAAAATTTCAAAAAGCATTTTATACAAAAATTTTTAAGCAAAAATAATTTTAAATAATTATTTGTTATTTTTTATTAGTTTATTAAATAATAGTAATATATATTGAATTGTATGTTCTACATATTTTTACATCCTTTTAATTTCAAAATACTTTCAGAGAGATCGATCAATTAGTTTCTGAGTTATCAAATTTTAAAAAATTCAGCTTAAAATTTTATTTATCTCGAATTATTCAACCTATTTCATTAAAATTTTGTATTTCGCAAATTAAAATTACATTCCGTAAAATTATATAAAAATTTGTATATCTTGCTATTTTATCCGTCGTTGAACAACCGACCCAATTTTCGAGTTTACGACTACTAATGTTTAACTCCGTAGCCTTGTAATTTTGAACCAATCCAGAAGACAAGGAAACTCCTGGGTAAGTACCCCCAGAGGTATTGATTTGTTATGGGTACATGGAGGACTTTGCGACTCGACAGATTTAACGTGCATCAGTTGCCATTTACTACGCGGGGATTTCAAAAATCGGGATTCAGAATTTTTCCAGCACATGTTATAAATATAAATATATTTTATAACTATTTAAAACTAAATTTTTTGCATGGCATTACCTTTGGAAAAACGAATCTTTGCAATTGTATGGGAAATGTTTTCGATTCAATCAAAAAGCAAAACGTTCTTGAGATATGACGAGATTGAGATATTATCATTATTATCATTGAGCTATTATTTCGAAACTATTACTATGCAATTACTATGAAATTAACAAAAGAGGACAAAATGAAAGACGTTTTTATTTATATCTGATATTAATATTGAAAGTGAACATCATTTCACCTTATTTTCCTCTTTCAATCATAATCCTTAAAATTATCAAAGCATATATATATGGATAACCATCAGCTAAATTATCTTTCTATATAAAAAAGAAAAGTTATTTTGCTATTATCAGCAATATTGACATATACTTCAAATGAATGTCAAGTGCGCAATAAAATAAATGGACCCACCAGAATAAATTTTAATCTTAAGCTCGGATCTTCATGTTCTAGGATTCATTCTTAATGGATCGAGAGGGTGACATCAAATATACTAATTAATTAGTCCAAACAATATTTTAAGTTAGGAAATTAGACATGAAAACGTTATCCGATTAAACATACCTTTCTTCGACGGATTCGGATTTCTGACCCCTAAAATATAGTAGTTTCAATCTAGAAATATTGTTTTAATAGTTTTTTCAGGCACGCGCTTGAAAGTTAGGAATCTTTAATGTTAACTTTAGTTTTTTCGTATTTCACTATATCCCAATTTCTTTTAAGCGAATTGAAAAAGTTTTGCATACAATTCCAGTCAGATCAATCAATTCCTATTCGTTTCTCTAAAGATAATTTCATGCGAAATGAAACTTTTAGTAAACATTTATTATTGCTTTATTTAAGTCGAGAAACTTAAGAAATGTAAGGTGTACAATTTTTTCATCATTTGCAAATTTGAATGTCAAAATACAAAATCTAAGCAAAATCGGTCAAATAAGTCCTGAGAAATAAAAATAAAACTCATATTTTTCGAAATTTGGTCCCCTAACTTCTTAATTTTTAGTGTCCATTTTTTGTGACTTAAAATTCGTAACTATGAAAGCAAATTTAAATTGTAAAGGAAAAAATGTTTCGCCTTGACATGTGGTAAACAATAATCAATTAACTGTGTGAAAGGTTATTCGTTGCAGGCGTATGTCAATATGCAAAAAGCTTCTGAAGGGCGAAACAGAAATCTTGGTAGAAAGTGTGCTTTCAGCTTTGCAAAGAAACGAAAACGTAGGCAGACAAACAGCAGCCATGTGTGGCAATTTTTTTTAAAAATGTAAGTTAGTTAACATTCGTTTCTCGGAGTCAAATTTAAAATTTGTAAATTGAAAAATAATTACAAATTTAAGTTATATTGTTTGAATCTTATATTTTAAGCCGATAGACTTATTCTTTTTCTCAATTGGAGAAATTAGCATTTTACCGGACATAGATGTTCACTTTGAAAGCATCTTTGAAAAGAAAAAGGAATCGCAAGGAGAAATTTTAAAAGTCTCTTTGTATTTATTTACAATATATATTAACATCGAATCCCCTGAATAAAATAGCCTTTTTTTTTTGTCCGTAAAATTATACTATGTAACAATTAGAAAAAAATTCGAATTTTACAATTTTATGGGCATAACCATTTCGAAGTTCATTCAAAACGGGGCATGATATCTTCAGATGGAATATGTGGATGCAAAAAATGTACTTTAAACTTAATTTGCAAAACATTTCAATGATTCAAAAGCCAATCGATGCATATAAAAATAACATTTTATATCAAAATGTTCATGAAATTTCAAATTTTTATTAACAAATAATTTTTGTGTTATAAGAGTAAGAAGCATAGAATTTTTTTGAAATTGCGGTTACTCCTGCTACCCTTTTTCTTCATTACAGGAATAATTTTTACGCCTACAATGTATGGTAAATTGCACCATGCAGTACAAAATACATCGATAACAGGAAAAAAAATTAGATTTAAATTTACATTAAAAGGAATCTGCACATTATGGTATCAATATTAGTGATTTTAGATTCTTAAAAACACACTTGAAAAAAATGACGTGAGAAAAAAATGTAAAGTATAAAATTCGTTTTAATTTAAATATTTTGAATTAATTTATTTGAGCCCCCCTGTCGGGGGAGTCTTGACCCCTTGTCGGGCAGAGTCTGGCGCCACCCTTGATATACTCCCACTTTTCTAACTTCTTATTATGCATTTAAATTAGAAGAGTTTATAAATATTTTAAGTATGGAGTTAGGCTTTTTAATGATAGAAATAAACAAAGCTCTTCTCTCCCCCTTCCCTAAAGAGGAATGATTTTTCTTTCCAATTTTAAGCTTTTTTTTTTTAAAAAGTAATATCTGTGCTGCTGATTCTTCAAATAAAATAGAAAAATGAGGCGAAAAATGTGCTTTTATTCAAGGCAGAGAATATTCAACTTGTCTTCTGCTTACATTTTCATTTTTTTCCTCATTTTCATATTGACATCTATTTTATTATACTAAATATTCTAGTTCATTAAATGTCATTTAACAAGTAATTCAGCATTATTGTTTAAAAATGAATATTTATTATTGTTTTTTTATTAAATATCATATATTGTTTACCTGATAGACCTGTTATATAAAGAAGAAGAAAATAATGAAGTCCTTGATTTTTCTGGATATGGAACTTTCCACCTTTTCAAAATTCTATTTCTTGAACTAACAAAAATTGATTTTTATGAAATGCCATATTTATTAAATCAGACTAGTCATCTTGTGAATGGTATTTTGAAATTGTTGTTAGTTTTAATTTTACATTACTTATTTATCTAGGTTGCAATAGTTTGTGCAACATCTGATGGATTGAAAGTTACAGTTGAGGATACTAAATCAGTTCAAGGAAATGCCTATATTCAATCAGCACTCTTTCATGATTACAATGTCAAAAAACAGTCTGTGATATTTAAAGTTAACTTAAGTGTATTGCTGGTAAGGATACCTTACTTCTCCCTTTATTTGACCCAATGAATTTCTATCACTCATAACATATAAATCTATTAAAACTTCCAACGATTCAATAAGATGAATTGGAAATTCTGAAAAAAATATTTTAATCATAAGCAATATCAGTAGATTGGAAAGTTTTTTGTTTGGATTTCGATGAGAAAATTTCTTATCTGAGCGAGCCTTTATAAAATAACTTTTAAATTTATATCAAGCATAAGTGACAGTTGCTTTTTATTGCCTCGCATTGTAGTTGGCATAATCAGGGTTCTATACAGCAATGACCTTAACATGCTAAAATTTGTAGTAAACATTTTATAAAGTCACAAATTTTTACTATCGCAATTATCTACCAGGAAGTAGATTATGTTAGATAGTCAGAAATAACGAAATGAATTTTACACAAAATCATTTATTAGAATGTATAACGAGGACAAATGAGGAATTAAATTCTTAACATACACAAAGAGTTATGCTTTTTAGGCTGCAGATCAATTATCTTAACAAACTGATGTTATACTATTACAATTTTAAAGATTGCTAGACTAACGTAGTAAATTGCATGCTACACAGCCTGCTCACATTTTTTACTATGTTCTGAATCAAGGTTGGCTGGTTCAAACTATGTAATTTAGATTAATGTAATGTATCAGAGTAATGTAATTTACACCAGAGTTTAAAATAAGCGGGTTTTTTAAAAAAAAAAAAAAGGAATGAAAAACAAGTCTGATTCTTTTAAGAAATATTTTAATTAATTTTTTTATTATTTATGCTAATGAGTTCCATTTAATTATAACGAAATGAAAAAGATTTACAATTTTGAGTTGAATTTCCAATGGGAATCCGTATTATTTCACGTAAACAAAACTGCAATTTTTACGTAATGTTTAGGTAGAAATTTTTTTCCTCAAAAATATTTATGTTTACTAAGTTGGCATTTTGTATGGAAGAAACCGATTTCTTTCAAGACAGTGGAAGAAACTGGGCAAAATGGAAGGAACAAAAAATGGCCAATATAATTTTTTAACAATAAGTATTATAAGAGTAACTCAAATTTAAACATATTAAATTTAATATAGTAGCATAAAGTTTAAATTTTTTATGTACTTTTGAAAAAATATTTATTTATTAATTAGTTTTTTGGAGAATTTAGAAATTTGTTCATCCTATTTCAGAGTTGGTTTGAGTATTCATACTTAACTTTATTTGATTATAAAAATCAGTATGCTATTTATACGTCAGAATTCGATATGTTTTTTTTTTCCTGTTTAGTATGTAATTTTTTAATTTGGTAATATTAATAAAATTTAATTATGTTATTTTAATAGTTTATATTATAGTAAAATTACCAGTTTTACTGTTTAATATAAAATATACTGTCTTGTCCTTTTAATCGAACCCTTCACAAATTTGTTTATCTTCATTATTGTTTTGTTAATTGAATAAACCCTTCCCAGGGCAGAAAACAAAGAAGATGGATGTAAACAAATTAAGTTTTGTCTTCGGCAGACGATTCTTCCATTATTCGCCAAAATAAATATTCTGCGTTCAGCAGTATAAGCTAAATACCAAATATTTGTATGTTGCATCTCTAATTTAGAAGCAGCAATTTGCCGTTTATTTTTGAAACTTTAATTTTTTTATTATAATTTTACAGTGCCGAGCATAATCTTGTATCTATTTACAATTTAAAAACTCCTTGAAAAAGTTTTTTGCAATAACCGGACCCTATTTGCACAAATTCATAAAAGCGGACCCTGGTTGAAAGAATGTGAGTAATTTTTTCACAATTTCACGAAAATCGGACCTTTCACAAAATGTCTGGACAGACCCCTGATAAGTTATATTCTCTAATCAAGATGGAACATAGTGCATTTATAGCTTTTGTGAAACCAGAAGTAATATATGATGCCTAAAATATAAAAAACAAACACACTTAATAACTTTTGATCAAATGATTGAATATTCACGTACATGGACTCAATCTTACTGGCTCAAGGATCTAACCTTAAATATGCTAATAAATTTGTGCAGACAATATTTTAAGATACGAACGAAATAAAATGCAAAAATATCCTTTCTCTGCATAAACATAATTTTTTTTCAATGGATTTGGATTCTTGACTCTCAAAATTTGGATAGTAACTGCAATCTGGAAAATATAGTTCCAATAGTTTACGCAGGAAACTGATTGAAAATTCGAAGTTCTTAATGTTAATTTCACTTTCTTTGGCATATTTTTTTTCTTAAACAAGTAATAGTTTTAAATTTTTATTTCTCAAGAACTATTTGACCAATTTTCTTTAAATATTTTTTTTTTAAATTAAAATTACATAGATTAAATTGGTGTTGAAATTTTCACCTCTTATAATTGTAAAAAATTATTTTTATATGAAATTTACCTTTTGATAAACAAGCTTTATATTAGTCTGCAAAAAATGTTTGAATCCAGAGTTATGGCAAAGTACACAGAAAGTGAAATTATCATTATCATATCCATTGCTCGCCTGCCTAAACCATATTTTCCAAATTGCGATTTGTCTTTAACATGTTAAATTAATTATTCAATAAATAAATGCATGTAAAAAGGGATTGTGTTATTATATTCAAAAATTGTATCTGTTTGAAAAAATTAGCAAAAAGAAAAAGTTTTAATAAAATAGTTGATAAGATTAAACTGACGGAATTTTTTATATTTATTTAAAACAGTTGTTTTTGTTATTTTAGTTTAATATGTTTTTGTTGCATACTATTATCATTATTTTTATTATTGTTCCTGATATTCTGTTTTATAATATTGTTAAAATTATGCTTAACTGCAGTTGTTAATTCTAACATCAATTACAGTTTTTAAATAAACTTACTAAACTTAAAACTAACTCTTTAAGTATATTGTGATATACATTTGAATTAACAAACTATATTATTCAGAATAATTTATTATTCAATATCTTGATTAAATATCTAATAATTTAATATGCTACAACTGATAATTTCAGATATGATATTTCTTACTATTGTGTATAGTCTAACTACTAAATTTGATCTCCATTTCCTACTGTTTTTTTAACTATATTTTTTCTCTAAAATTTGTAGTCACATGCAAATAAAACCATGGCTATGTATTTCGACTCTTTAAATACTTTGAAGCTAGTCAGTTGAAATCATGCTATAAGTTAGTCATTATTGTAAACGTAGTGTTATCCCTGACGCAGTATGGCAGGAAATCGAACAGCAACACTGAAAAAAACCTGCTATAGTCCTTTTGGGTGCATCCAAAAATTGACATGTTTTATTTTTATAATTAGTTTTTCCAAAACAGCTTAGTTCAAATAGAGTTAGGATGTAAGAAGGAAGAAGTTCGATGAAGTTTGCTTATGCAATGCAGAGTTTTTTTTTAACAATTAATTAATGTTTATGATTTTGAAAGAAAGAAAAAATTAATTGTATTGTCAATCAAAATGGGTTGTAGGTGGCGTAGAGCAGAACTCTCTACCTATGGCAACACTTCACATGCTTTCCCCATTAGCATGTAGAGAGTCATAGAGGGAGGAAGTATGGTAGTTTCTCTCTTGATTTTCATATAGATTAAAATCTTTTAAGTTGGAAAACTATATGGAACTGAAAACTACATTAATCATAGTTCTAAAGAAAAGCATCACGGAAATTTTAAAAAATATTTTTATTAAATAAAAAGGAAAATTATTAGGAAAAGGGAAAATATCGTAGTACATTCCTATACAACTGAAAAGAGGAGGAGAGGGAAGGGAGCAGGGTTAAAGGCATGAAATCGGCCTCTCCCCAGATGGCGTATTCGAGCGTTGCGATCGCCAATTTTAAAAGCAGTTTTAAAGTTTAAAAATTAAATTGTTTTGCAAAAAAGAAAAAATTTGTATATCACAAAAACATATTTAAAGAAATAAATAAATCATTTTTTTTATTTATTTATTTAAAGGAGTGTGAGAAAAATTTAGAATCTATTTTGTGACATATTTTAAAAGGAAGCTTATTTCCATTGTTACAAAAATAAATCAGTATAGAAAGTGAACTAATTAACTAATGATTAACTAATCATGAACTAATTAATCTGTCAAGCATTTTATTACAAAATCGATTCTCTAGAAAGATTGTAAATATAAAGAGTAATAAATTGAAAATAAAGTTTTCTGATTTCTTATTATTGCAATTTTATTTATTGTGTTTCTTTTTTGTTATGGATGACTACTGCATCAAATAACTTTTTTAAAAAGGTTTAATCAAATTTGAGAAAATGAAAAAATCTTTATTTCTAGGTAAAAAGGGAGAAAAAATGCAAATGATGCATTTGTCATCCTTCTAAAAATATAGAACGCCTCTTATGAAAAACTTTCTTTATCTGCATTTGTTACATTTATAGGAGTATATTAAATATTTATATGTATATATTTACATCTTAATAATAATGTATATTTAGCTTGGATTTTTCCATTAGTATTTTGTAAAATTGTTGAATTAAATTAGCTGAACTATTGTGATAATGAACTATTCTTCTTAAATGTTGTTTTTGGTTTTAAAATAACAGTGTTATGCAGCATTCTATGTAACATTTATAGCTTATTTTCTCATGAACTAATTAAGATTTATTATATCTAGAGTAGAGTACCACTCGCCATTGGCAATCAAATGTTTAAGACTGGCTTTTGAAATCTTGAGTTTTATATTAAAGTTGATATGCTTAGATTGACATTTGGCAATCAAATATTTAAGGCTGGCTCTTAAAATCTTGAGTTTTATATTAAAGTTGATATGCTTAGATTGATCCATTTTTATCCCCCCCCCCCACTTTTTTTTCCTTTTTTTTTGCTTTGGAAAGTATCAATCCTTTCAATGTCTGAGTTTAAATGAGAGTCAGAAAAATTCTGTAAACAATGTAAGATGAATTTGTAAAAATAAGCTTTTACAATTTACTTTAAACATTTCGAATTAAAGATGTCTTTCTCTTCATCATATATTAAAAATTTTGTAAAATTCATTTGAAAATTTTTTATTGAGAAAATCATTAAAACTTCATGAATTTGCTTATTTCATGCTTGTTATGCTGTGAATATATTAATGTGGTTACTGATATTAAATATTGGTTTCAATTAATAACATTTCATATTCAAAGTATAATACAAACTTCTAACTTTGGGGCTGTTTTTTTTACTTTATGGTATTTTATTTCATATAGTAATATTTTGAAAAATATTTTAGGAATGCCTTAATATTTTCGGTACCAAGAATAATCCAGGATCAATAGCTACAGTGAAAATTTGCTATTCTGGTTATGGATCGCCTTTAGTGTTGTTGTAAGATGTTATTTTGATAAAAATCTGCAGTTTTGAATTCAATTTATCAAAATGTAAAGATTTTTTTCTTGTTATTATTAAAAACTTGTTACTTTTGTATAAGTTATATTTAATAATTTAATGCGGGTGTCCCCAAACTAAGATGATAACACAATTTAAGATGATAAAGATACCTAAAATTTCCCAATAACTAAAATAATTTAATGGGTTTTTCACTACGAATTTTTAAGGGTAATCTAGATGAGGGGTCTCCAAAGTTTTCATCCTTAGGTCCATACTGTAAGTTCCAATACTGTAAGGTCTTCCTGTAAGTCCATGCTATAAGGTCCTCCAGTAAGTTCCAAAACCCTTTTTCTGGACATCTGGAGGTCAAATGTGGAATTTAACATCTAATGGTCCTTTTGCAAGTGTAGTATAACTATTCAACATTCTAGGGAAAACCGTTTGTTGTGAAATAAGTTTGCTATAAAAAACATCTTTGAACCACCCAAAGCCCATTTGTAGCATTTTGATTTAACTAAATTAATTTTCTGATTTTTTATTCAAGCATTCTTTAGGATAATCGAGACAAGGGGTCTTTCCAGCCTTAGGGCCATACCACAACTTTTAAAATAAAATTTTTCATATTTGTGATAATTACCATATCATTGTATTTTAAATTACTCAAAATATTAGCATAAATGTAAAATGAAATGTATTAAATTTTTACCATTATAAAAAACTAGAGAATTAACTATGGAGAATTAATATCATGTATATTTCAGAAATCGTGGAACAAAACACATAATAATAGAACAAAATAATCAAATGTAATACAAATCAACTTAATTTCTTCTCATCGAAACATTCATAAAATAAAACAACCTGCATCAGTTATTTTTTGTTAATCCCTAAAATTTTAATGTGGCCCATTAATAATATGACCCATGTAATAAGATAAACATACAAAGAAAACAAGGAATGAAATAAGAAGAAGACAATGTTTCTTTGAAGATACGAAGAAAAATTTTTTTAAAAATTAAAAAGGAGGAAAAATTAATGAAAAGATTTGAACTCTATTGTTGATATTTATAGTTGATTTATTTTTTAAATTTCTTAACAGGGAGATCTTTCATGTATTGTAAAAGCTAAATTTATCCTTAAACTTCGGTTTGTCATAGGTTTGAGTTTTTTTTTTCTGTTAACTTCATTTAATGCTGTTCTTCAGCTTCTGATCTAGATTTCTTGCAATTGTTTTATATTTAAAAAAAATTTTATAATTTAGTTTTGCTCCTATTCTTTCCCTAATAATTGGCAATCTATTTTAATATAATTTCCACTTTTTCACCACCTTAGGTCTTACACTTATCTCTTCTAAACATCTGTTGTTGTTTTTTTATCTCTCTCTTTTTTTATTATCTTGTTCAAGTTTCTATCTCTTCCCATTTGATTTTCCCGTTGCTATAACCTGTTTGTCTTTTATTTTCTTCTGTCATTCTGTGTTTTAACTTTACTAAAGTTCATCTTTACGGAACGGAAGTTAAAGTATATCTGTTTTTGTGCTTTATTTATAATGTTTAGCTTTATTCTTAAAATAATAATTGTTTAATTATATTATCATATACTATGATAAATAAAAAATTATGTTCATATTGAGATGTTCAGTGCACAAAATAATAAAAGGATCACCATAAGTAACTTTTAATCTAATGACCGGATCTTCGCATTCTGGGACTCATTCTTATTGGTTCGTGGGGGTAACCTCAAATATGCTAATTAATTAGTGCAGATATTATTTTAAGGTAAGAAATCAAACACAAAAACTTACTTTCTCTGAATAAACATACCTTTTTTTGGACAGATTTGGATTTTTGACCTCCAAAATATGGTATCCATAGTTAGCTCAGGAGAGCAATCTGAAGTTTGGACCCCATAATATTAATTTTACTTTTTGCGTATTTCACTATATCTTTAGAACTTTTTAAGAGAATTGAAAAAGTTTTGCACACAATTATAAATTTCTTTATCTAAGGATAATTCCATGCAAAAAATACTTTTTAGTAAACATTTATTATTTTATTTAATATTAGTCGAAGAAATTTTTAATTTTAAGTTATGCAATTTTTTACACCATTTTAAAGAATATAATTTTACATGATTAAATACAAAATTTGAGTGATGTCAGTCAAGTAGTTTTTGAGAAATCGAATTTCAAAAAAGTTGTATTTTAGAAATTCAATTTCTCAGGAACCATTTTGACTGATTTTGTTCAAATTTTGTATTTTGCCATGTAAAATTATATTCTTTAAAATGATGTGAAAAATTGCATACCTTACTATTTGAAATTTGTTTGACTAATATTAAATAAAATAATAAATGTTTATTATATGTTATTTTTTGTATGGAATTTTTTTTTTTTTTTTTTTTTTTTGATAAATGAATTTTACAATTGTATGGAGAAAGTTTTCAATTCGGTTAAAAAAAACTTTTGAGATATGGTGAAATATGCAAAAAGTAAAGTTATCATTAAGGGGTTCAAATTTTGGACCGCTCTCCTAACCAAACTATTTGGACCATATATCATGGACCATTATTTTTGGTTCATTGCTGCTATCCCCTATGTTTTGCGGATCAGAAATTCAAAGCCGTCGAAAAAAAGATAAGTTTAATCAGAAAAAGTACGTTTTTGTGTTTGATTTCGTGACTTAAAATATCGTGTGCAATTATTAGTTAGCATATTTGAGGTCAACCCCTCAAACCATTAAGAATAAGTCCTAAAACGTGAAGATCGGATCATTAAACAAAAAGTTATTAAGGGTGGTCTTTTTTATTTTGCGCACTGTATATCACATACCTATATGAAATTTTGTGCTTACGTGAAATTTATTTTTATTTCTTGTTATATTTGAAACTTCAATAGGATCGAAGAAAATGGCGTGGTTACAGATTGCAAACTTCAAACATTGGAACCTGAAGACATTTTAGATTTTGAATTTACACCTTCAAAAGTAGTGAATAAAATAATAATGCAGGTGAGCAAAATTGCTTGTTTATAATATACTGGTTCCCTGTGGCAGAATTTTTTTAGGCTATCTGCCACAAACCAAAACTAGCACTAATATCTTTTGCAAAATACTTTTAATAATAACAAATAAACATGTTACTAATTTAATTTAAATTAACAGAAATGTGTTTACAAAAAGAAAAAAAAATGGATGAAATAAAATTTTATATTCAATGAAATATTTAATTCAAATAAATATGTATTTTTTTTTTTTTTTTTTATCATGGGTGATATTTTCCCATTTTGTAAGAGGAAAACACGCTAATTATTTCCTTTTTCGCATTTCGTGAATCATCTCATAAAAAAATTCAAAATAAAAATCTTTAAATTCGTAGCAGTAACTTCCAAAAAAACTTCCAGCGAAATCTTGCGAATTGAACTCTTTAAGAAGGGGGGTACTAAATGTGTGTTTCGTTTCGAGATCCAGTTGTTGTAATAAACAATATCTTATTAAAAATTTGGGATTAACTGCGGGAAAATAAATGCCCCCTAAAAGGCATAAGCGATAGAATCATTGCTTTAAAAATGAAATATTCATAAGCACGATTTGAATTTCCCATATTGTCAGAAATATATCAGGATATTTAAAAACCACAGGAAAATCAATATCAATAACTGCCGAAAATACTAACATCCGAGATTCTCTCAGAATATCATATTTGTATGTCAACAACTCAAAAAAGAGAAACGAAGTTTCTGATTAAATGAGTTTATTTAAAAACATTAGTAATAAAAAATGTCACAAACAGAGTGACGAAAAGAAAAGAAGGAATACCCAAGTGATCTTGGACTTAGATATGAATTTGGCCAAATGTGGACATCTCACTTCTTCATCTGGTATCTGGCCGTAGGGCTACTGAGACTAGTGGCTTTAGGTTAGGGGGGGGAGCATTGGCGGTTTACTAACATAAGGTTAGTTATCTGTAGAGGTAATTACTGGGAAAGTCCCCTGAGTCAATAGCATGTGTAAAATACAATAAATTGAAAAAGAAAATATATAAAAAATTATTTACAGATTAAGTAGTTGTGAAATAGGAAAAGTATCATATATTTACTTATTAACATTATTTACATAATTTGATGTTTGTATTATTTAGAGTGATCCTCTGTTATAACGATGACCCGGTCGTGCCGGGTTGCTCATCGTACTAATGTTAATAGTCCTACAGCTTGCCCGAATCGGACCCTACAGGGTTGCTCCTTCACCGGGTTCGCCGTAGGGCTAGAGTCATGTTTGTGTATGTCAATTGTTTGCGATCTTAAAGTACTTGGATAAGATCCCATCTGAGAGTAAGAAATTAGTAATGGAGTTTTTGGTATCTCGTATCAGTTCTTTGTTGAAGATTAGATTAAAATCTGCTGTTGTGCTATTCATAGCTGAGCTAAAGAAGCTGGCGCTTAATTTGTTCATGTATTCATTAATAGACTCTAATTCGAGATCTCTTCTAAGGGCTTTTTTACTGATGTGCCATGGTACTCCTGTAATTCTTCGTATGATCTTATTTTGTATAACTTCTAATTTGTTGATTTGAGTGTTGTTGAGACATCTCCAGGCGAGACTGGCGTATGCAATGATAGGATGGATACAGGAAATGTATAATAGTCTTTTCAGGTTTAGTGGTAGCTGCGATTTTGCGTTAAGCAGTGATCTAAGGCATGAGAAGGCTGCAAGCGATTTATTCTTGATTTTGTCTACATGATCGTTCCAATTTAGTTTATCATTGATAGTAAGTCCGAGATAATTGGCTTTTTGCGCAATTGGTAGGTTGTTTGAGAAGAGAGAGACTTTACTTGTGATACGTTTGTGTCTCTTCTTTTTTCTTATTATCATCAGTTTTGATTTATCCGCATTTATAGAAATTTTATTTTTGGCGCACCAATCTTCGATGGGTGGCATACCCAAATGATCTGCTTCAACAGAAGCTTAAATACAGATAACGGGTGACGTCATGATCCACGCAAGAACGACCAACAGTAAATGAAAATAAACTGGCCGTTCCCCGCAGACCATGACATCACCGACGCAAGTTGAATGCATGAGATCGACGACGGAAAATCGAACCTCATACCTTTTAGCCTCTATTTGTCCAACAAATACAATTGAAACACTACATGGATTTGCGATAGTATCGGCATAAAGTGATCGAGTCAAAAAGTAATTATTTAAGTGTGCAATTTAAATGTTATCTGTAGAAAAAATATTAACTGAGAAATAACCGGGCATTTAAAAGCCCTGTGGAATTCTGTAGTACATATTAGCAATAAAAAGTTGAAAAAAACGATGAAATCATCACAATAAAAGTAAATAATTGATTTGAGTTTTGCATATAATTAAATTGTATAAAAAACATTGGGATAAATTTTTTTTCTTTTTAAAATGTGAAAATACGTAACAATATCTGTCGAAGGAACGATTGAAATACCGAATGGATTAAAGAGAATATCGGCGCAAAATGAGCGTGCCAAAGAATGATTTCTTGAATCCATGATTCAAATTTCGCATGCCGTAATAATATTTGTATATTTCAAAAATTAACTAGAATATAAATAATAACTGAGCAATGAAAGACATCGGAATTTCGAAGAAACAAAGCAAAAATTCTTAGCAATAATTGCCAATTTTTTTGCAAATTTGCTTTTTGATTTACATTTGCAAGTAAAAATTGCTTTAGAGTTTTTATGCTTTGTATCGCTTGATCAGCTGTTGGCACGTCTTCTGTTTTTTCATCGTCATCCGCACTATTGTTGGAATCAGGCATTAAATCACTTATGGAAGAGATTTCTGAAGTAATGTGTCACAGTCGATGTATGCATTATTGACTTCCGGAAGATCCTCAACTTCAGACACGCTACCTTCTTCTTCTTCCAAAACAACATTGCTCTCCTCCTCCGATATTGAAAATCCTGCTTTATTGAATCCATCTATTATGAACTTTCGGTCGACACTGTCCCAAGCTGAAGATATCAAATTAAGAGTCTTAAGAATATTAATTTTTGCCTCAGAAGCATCCTGAAAGTCACCAGAATCAAGAAATATTAGAGATTTTCTAACCAGTTGCTTCCTGTAACTCTCTTTAAATGATAGTATAATTCCTAAATCCAGTGGTTGAAGTTTGCTCGTACAGTTAGCTGGAAAAAACTCTATTCGCACGTTTTTCAATCTAAGGTTTAAATGAGCAGTGCATTGGTATAGGAATAAAATTATGTTGCGCTTTTGAAAACTCATTTTCTTATCCAGTTTTCGAGGAAATTTTTTAAATAATGCTTGTGTCATCCATGCTTTTTTGTTTGAAGCGTAATCGGTAGGAAAGCTTTTGATATTTTTGAAACACCGTGGTTTCTTTGCTCTACCGATCACAAGAGGCGTTAACTTGTGGCTTCCATCGGCATTTGCACAGAGCAAAACAGTCAAACACATTTTTTAAAGCTTTCCTCCATGGCAATTTTCACCTTTAATTGTAATGTCTTGTTTGGCAATTGGTTGAAAAACAATCCCGTTTTGTCCGCATTAAATATGTTACTTGGATTATAGCCCTTTAATAAATTTGGCAGAGTTTCTTGTTTCCCCAGTTGCACAGTTGTCATATCCACACTATCGGATTCGCAACAGATAGATTTGAAGCATAAATTGTTCCTTTTTTTTTAATAGATCGATCCATCCATTTGATGCACTGAAGCCTTTGAGTTTAAGTCTTTCATCAATTTCAAGCCCCTTTTCTCTCAGGATGGATCCATTTATCTTTGCTGCTCTGCCTTCCTTGAACCAGTTCATTAAAAAATTTTCAAACTCATCATAAGGAGATGTTTTAAGGGTTTTTCTCTTCTTGGCATATTTTCCGAGTTTTTCAGCATTTAGTTCTACTAAAGCTTCTTGCTTTAAAATCATTTGCAAAGTTGAATAAGCAATACCCAAAGATTTAGCAAGATCAACTTTAGTGCCAAGAAATACTTTAGCTTTTTCGATGATTTCAGCTTTTTCGGCCAGAGAAAAGCATTTTCGTTTCGACATCTTATTTTGAGTAAAGAGCATGATGACTGAGGTTTCGAAAATGAGAAAAAATGCTATAGCTTTCAAACTCGAACAAAACCGACTGAAAATCTCTTTTGGTATGCTAGCACAGAAAAATGAGTAAAACCATTTCGATTAGAATATTAAAAAAATTTTGATTTGTTTGTAGCAAAACGCATTAAGCGGGATTTTCATAAAAGGGGTAACGCAAAATCCGGGATTTTTTAACATTATCGGTATGGGCAATTTTCACGGATCAGCAGAAAATGATGTAAGGAGCAGGATAATGTACAAAACGGACAACGTAAAATCGGGGTTTCACCATATATATATATGTAATAACAGGACTACATCCCTGTTATCATTGGTTTTGTTTAGCTCAAATAATTCAGTCGTGAGCCAACGTACGTCTTCAATAGTTTTATTTANAAATTTAGAATACTTTAAATTTTTAATATTTAGATCGGTACGACTGTTCCTTTTCCCTACTACAAATAACATTTTTTCAATTATGTGTAAAAGAAAAACAATTATTTATAATGATAAAAATAACAACATGATAATGCAATTTATCTGTTCAGTCAACTAAACAGAATGAAAAATGAAACATATTTATATAACTATTCTACTAAAATTTTAAAAAAAAATTTTCACACAAAAATCTACAAACTTTTTATGCAAACGAACTGGACAACAAGTGTCATTTAATCAGAATTTAAGATTCTGTGTGGTTGAAGGGGTTATTTACTTGATGAAAATCGGTATTCCCCGATAAAATGGAGGAAAACAGGATTTCATGAAGCACTGTGATATTGAGAGATCCAGATTGGATATATACAAAAATGGTTTATTATATTTTTCTCACCTTGTTGAGGAGAAAAAAAGTTCAGCTTTCCTTGCCCTCACATCTAAATGATGCTGAGGTAAACATCTGCACACGCGATTCAGATCTCCCAAAA